GGGATTCTTATTAATCGATACCTCACCATGTTTTAAGAGAGATGTATTTTCCTTGTCACACTGCAGGTTCCATGTCCTGCACTGGACTTACATTTACACATTCTAAGATGAAACAGTCAGAGATATTAAGTGATGTACCAATAGTCACAGGGTTTCTGAAAGTTTGGTACACACACACACACACACACACACACACACACACACATAGAAGTTGCATGCTTACTATACTGAAAACTGTCTATCCCTCTTACAAGTTGTCAAAACAACACTGGAAAGATTTCAGATCAGCAAAAGTAAGTGATCTCATAATTAGAGATGTCTTTTGAATAGTGACTCTAGAAGTCTAGATATTTTCTTTGCAGGCAGTTCTTGCAATAGAGGGAGGAGGATACCTTAGTATGCTCGCAGGTTACAATGGGTTTGGGTGGAAAGATCACTAGAAAGATTTCAATGCAGCTCTGAGTTTATCTTTCAGTTGAAAGAGTCTTTGGTTTAGAATTCTGGACATTGTTTCAGTTACATGGCTCAGTTGCCTATTTCTGGATTTCCTGATCTCATTTGACAGGGACACTATATGCTATAAAAAAGGACTTACAAAGGTTTTTAACTATAATGTCACTTAGTTTGGGAAATGTGCGTATCAACACAGCTTTTTGAATCTCTTTCAATGTCTAAATTTCTATATACAATACTTCTCCCTGAGTTTCTGTACATTTTCATATACATTGCCACACCTGTATTCATATTAAATATGTGGATTGTATATGAATACATGTGCAGACCATACAACTAGATTTATATTTGTGTGTGTTCATGTACATCATTTCTATATGTTTTTGTTGCTTTGTATGTATTCATTTTTACTTTTTCAAGCATACCCTGGACCACCTGTGTCCCAGGAGACACTTTTTCACTCAAGTTAGAATTTTTAAACCAGTTGCTTCAACTTATTATGAAGATGACAAGGGTCATTAAAATATTCTGCTACTCTACCATATTCCCCATGAACAAAAAGAAGGCAGGTGGCAGATAACTAGAAGATGATACTGTCCCAATGTGAAAGTGAATTTTAAGTTGGTTGTGGGTGAGTATTTTGGATGAGGGGTCCTTGTGCACAATGGTAACAAGACAACACTCCATTTGGCATCAGGATGACAGGGAATGATTGCTCACTATGCTTGAGCCAATAACATCCTAAAATATGGATACAGTGTCAACAGTTTGTCTCATAGCACAAGTGTGGTCTGTACATTAAGCGCTGTCTGACTTTGAGGGGTCACTGTGAACTTGGAAACGAAACATGTAGCATTAACCCTTATGGTTTGTGGGTTTGGGCTGTTGTTCAATTTTCTGGTGCGATGTGAGCTTCTTTGAATCTAATGTTCTTTAAAAATGTAATGGTACATGGTATATCTTCCATGTTTGAGTTTACACTACCCTTTAGGTAAACCGTAAAATGTGACTGCTCTTTTTTGTTTTTTCTCTCTGTGTGACTGCATCTCACAGTGAGTACACATTTGGAAACCTTCAGACCAGAAGATCTACACAGTCTTTCTAATTCCCTATTTGCTCTACTAACTTAAAATGGGACAATGCTCATGAACATTTTTAGTGTAAGATACGTAAATGCTGTTATCCTAAAATTTTTCATTTATGTGGATTTCTCAGACAGATTCAGGCTAACCAAATTAACAGGCATTGGTTACAAGAAGAAACAAGGCATTGGTAGACTGTCATATGGCTGAAGTTTGTGAAGGTTTGGAGGTCTCCCACCAAGCTTGCCTTTGAACCTCCAGCACCTGGCACCTGCTTTATATCTATTTGCTGATGAATAACATATGAGTGCTTTCAGTCCTTTTGAAGAAAAATCTTGTAGTTATTCTAAAGGTAGCTACAACCTGGGAAGGCACATATGGTCTTGGAGCAGAGGCTATGTTGGGATTGGTGAAGCAGGGTTGAAGCTATTGAATTCGTTCTTGTCTCAGTGCATGCTGAGCTCATGAGGGTTGTTGGGCCAGTTGGGATAGTTTTGTTTGTATAGCCACGAAATGAAAGTGAGAGCTCTGGGGAGAGTTCTTGCCTGATTTATCTCTATGACTATCCTGGGACCAGCAAATGCTGACCTCTTAGAATCAAATAAATATTGCCTTCAGAGCAAGACTATTTTGATTTTTGTGGCTTTCAAACCCAGATATAAAGCAACAATCTCACACAGGAAAAGTGACATATAAAATGAGAGAACCCACAGTAATTACATAAAAGGCTGTTTTTCTGTGTATCTACTGTCTAACATACAGTATAAGCTGAAAATAATCTATGTATAAGTGGAAGAGGGAATGGTGATTTCTAGTCCTGTTGTAGATGTAGTCACTCTCACTTAAGTGGTCATTACAGACTGGTAATCAATCATGGAGTTCCAACTCAGAGACCGTTGCCTTAGCAATGACCAAAAAGGACAGGCTGAAAGAAATCAGGATGCTGAGTGTCCTCTCAGAAGGTGGGCTCTGAGCTTAGGAGCAAGATATTTCTTTCTGAGGACTGACAGTGCCCTGCTTAGTGTAATGCTCTGGCCCAGCTTTCTTTGGAAATGTCCTGCCTTGTTTGTCCTCTATAGATAGTGTAGAAAATAAGCCAATATCCAAAAGTGACCTAGGAAGAATAGTATAGAAATAAATCTGCTAGGAATCTCATGGAAGCCTTGAGATTGTGGACAGTGAAAGGTGGAAGAACAGAATCTCGGGCAAGACCAAGACTGAAGCTTCTGGCTGAGCCCAACATTCCCTGGCTTCAAGAAGATGTACTGCTAGGAGAGGAGAGCATGCTCCATGCTTTGCACCTAAATAGATTGGGCTGTCATTGGCACTAATACTCTGTCCAGGAATCCTATGCTAGTGTTTCTCCAAAGGGCTAGAGATCACTGTGCTAAGAAGTTACCTGAATTTCCATTTTTATTGCTACATTATTCATAAGAGTCTAGAGTCAACTTGTGTCTATCAATGATTGAATAAAGAAAATGTGATATGTATGTTTTAGTACTATATATATATATATATTTCAGCCAAACTAAATTAAAAAGAGATCTTGTCATTTGCAACAGCCTGGATATACCAGGGGGCTATTATGTCAAGCTCGAATAGCCAAGCGCAGAAGAACAATATAAGTTGTTACTTACATGGGGAATTGAAAACCATTGTAGTTGTAGATACAGAGTACAATAGTAGTTGTCACAGGCTAGGGATTCAGGAGCATTTTGAGGTGTTGCTCAGAGGGCACAAAGTTTTAGCTAGACAAGTGAAATAATATTTTTGATATCTATTTGTACATCACACTGATCATACTTAGTAGTGTGTATACATCACACTGATCTTAGTAGTGTGTATACATCACACTGATCTTACTTAGTAGTGCATATTTCAGAATTGCTAAGTGCAAATTTCAGATGCTCCTAGTATAAAAAATCATGATTATTAAACTGTTGGTTATGCGCATCAGCCTTAATCATTCCAAATTGTATATATATATATATATATATATATATATATATATACCATAACAACTCTTAGAACACTATAAATATCTTCAAGAAAAGAATGTTCAAATAATATTTAAGTACATTTGATTGAGTAAATCCTGGCATGTGAAAAATAGTATTTGGTGAAAGGAATGGGAATTTATATGCATTCATTTCTTACTGTGCTTTAGAGGATATACCAGCTACTGTGGATACGTTATATAAAACTCCAGTGTGGGAGATACCTATTACTAACTACATGTGTAGATAAAAGAGGATGAGAAACCTTAGATAGTATTTCAAGTGGAATGGAGGTAACAGTTCACATCTATGTCAAAATGCAAACTTCCATTACCTTTCCTTGTAGATAATAAAAGTCACAAATTGGTAGATCTCAACTCAGCTGTCCTAGTAAGGTAACCTGGTGCAGTCAGCATACCCCTGTGATGGACTTCCATTGACTGTCATTCACTGTCACTAAGGGTCAATTCAGCAAATACTATCTTCCCTTAGACATCAGGATCAATCATCTACATATCATCATGGCCCACATAAGCAGATGACAGCTGCCTTGTTATTCAGGAAGTAAGACCAATAGACCAGCAAATTTCAAGATTGTGGCGATAGAGCTAAAATATGGACTGGCAGTTACAAGACCAGGGCTGCTGGTAGGCTGATGGTTAGGGAATCTGGCTCAGTCCAAGCTCTCTCCTAACTTCTGCATTACTTTTGGTCCTCACTATCTTTTACTGGGAATCTCTTTCTTTTTATTTTTTAGAGTAGGATTGGGACCAATCTACAGGAATACTTTTCAAAGGAGTTTTAAACTACAAACCCATTTCCGCAAAGTAAATAGAACCCGGGAGTATTCATGTATATGACTGGAAAACTTACTAAAATATTATTTTTTGTTTTTTGCTTTATTTATTTTCTTTATTTTTTTTCCCTGAGGAAGGAGCCAGATCTTCAGTAGGTGTTAGGTGCAGGAATGTTGGTTTTCAGGCTCAAGTCAGAAGCTGAGTTTTCCTTGTAAAGCTACACAAGACAATTAATTATGAGACTGTGATGTAGCATGCTCTGTAAACAGATGGGAGAAGGCATGCCATTGAGAATTACATGATCTCAGAGTGAGATTTAACTCTGTGCCACAAAAGAATGTAGTAATTTGTGTATTTGAGACATAGAGGCATTAAGATTGAGCCAAATTCTGTAAGGCAGTGTGGATATAAGTGACCTGACCCTGCAGCCCAAGGTGGAGGGAATGTTCAGCAAGGTAAACAAAGCACCCACAGGACATTTGTTCAACAAAATGCCATGCACTTTGTTTTCTCTAAGCTATGAACTTCTCTACAAAGAGAAGTTTGGATAATATTAGATATAATGGATGTATCAGTAACATTCATGATGACTTAAATATTACAGATATCTCCCCATTTTTTCCTGTGGTGGCCTCCCAGACTCAGGTTTGATTCTTCAAAGGGGGGCACTGTAGTGCTGACAGGTATTATGGTTTCCAGCAGGTTGACTGGGCATGTGCATTTCCTATAACTGGATTTTGTATGATAACATTTATATCTGTTTCCTTTCAAACAAATGAAAATAAGCCTGCTTCATTATCTTATCACTTATGGGCCCTCTTTTGAATCATTTAGCAACTTCATATCTGAAAAGTGTGTGACTACGGTCATTTTTAAATTTCATACAGTTTTGAAGTATCATGTGATAATGTTGATAGAAACTGTAAGCAGAAATATAAATAAGATGTTTTATTTCCCAGGTTTTCCACACAGGCTTCATTGGGCAATCTGGAGGATGGAGAAAGAGTTAAGTTCGAAAGTCTTTGACCATACCAGCTTCACTGGGATCTATGATTATGTTCATCATAGAACCTAAGACCTGGTACTATTTTTTGTTTTTTAACTAGGACTGAGCTCAATAATTTGTGATTGCCTGGCAGGTGCCTTGGCAGGTGAACTAATCCCCAGCCTCTGGCCTAGCACTTTGTACGCACTAATACAGAAACTGTTCCAGTATTGTCACAGTAAGGAGGAGATTATATTGGTAAATCCCGGAAAAGTTATGGGAATTCTAATAAATAAATTTCAGTCTACGAATTCCAGTGAAATTCATGCCATGAATAAAGAGTTAAACCAGTATCTGTAGTTGTGGGGAACCAAGGTATTCCTGGGTCCAGTCAGAACAATAGCTAAGCAGAATAAATGCCACCACCCAGTTCTGAACCAAGGTTTCATTAACTTGTGAAGAGAGACAGGTTTGGGTCCTGGATTGGGAGATTGGAAGAGGTTACAATATCAAATCAGTGTGGCCTCATAAGGGGAGTAGTTGGTAGACAGTGACAACTCTCAGAGGGATAAAAATGGGCAGCCAGGTGGCTGTAAGCCAAGGTTAGCCTTGGTCTTAGAGCAGAATGTAGAAGGAAACAAATTTCAGGTGAAGATAAAGAGTCAGTCAGGTTAACCAGCACTCCATGTGTATCCCTAAAGCTGTGGGAGAGAAATGTCCTGTTCAGGAATATCCTTCCTCTATGGAGCCTGATAGGGTCCTGTTGCGACCTCAGTGGTGCCTGGATGAACTCCAGGACCCATGAATTCATCCCCTTCCCCTCTACATGTGACATAAAAGGAGTCACATGTTCCACTAGAGCCCTAGAAAGAAAGATGTCCACTTTTTCTTCAGTTGGTGCTTAACTGTAGCCCTTGCAAAAAGAGAGGCTGTGGAGAAGCTAAAGTGTATAAGGCAAAGCTTGGTAAAAGTTTTGAGAGGGGATTTGGAAAAGTATTGAGTGGAGAAGGAGTGGAGGAGGCAGAAATCATCAGAACTGTGTCACTGTCCTGCTTAGCACAGAGTTGGTCCCCATGAACCAACATAAGTGAGCAAACAAGAAACTAGCCTTCCACTGAGATGAAACATTTATTTAGTTGCTGGCATCTGCTCTAGAGTGATTCTAGACTCAGCTCCAGGTAAGATGGTTGCTCATAGAGGGGATTTACTTTACTGTGTGCAGTCAGCTCTGTTTTATAGTATTCTTTATCCACTGTTGAAACCATGAGACTTTGGTAAAGATACATGGTGTTGTTCCATTCTTTGATACATAGGAGAAAATGCCCTGTGCCACATTATTACACACCAGGGGGCCTCCAGAGTCACCCTGTAAATAGAGAGTGAGTCTGTGAACCATGGCACCACTTAACTTCTCACTTCCATTATTCCAAACCCCCTCATGCAGTAATGATTGTAAGGTCTGCTTGTGAGAGATTAGAGGGAACTACAGGCTGTTAGCTGCTGAGCTCTGACTATGGGCATTTTCACTCTTGGAGCCAACATTTGTCTTCAGCCCCAGGTCTGGACCTCACCCCTGTAGAGTTGTGAGGACCATTCATTACAGGCCAGGGAGGCTGATGACAAGGTCTGACAATGAGCACACATGATTAGCTCATTGACCAAGAGGGCTGCCATCTCAGAGGAGGTTATAATTCCTGCACACCAGGGAAACAGTTTTCTCATGCCTGTGCCATGAGCTCAGGCAATGTGTTACAAAGTGAAGCTTCCAGTGGTGTTTCCTTCTCCAGAGGCCCCTTAGTAAAGTGGTAGGGGCTTTAGGCTTTAGTACCTCCCAGCTCAGGCTTCTCCCTTCTTCTCTTTTTGGGGAGAAACGTAACAGCCTATGGGGTGAAGGAATCCATGATGCTTCGGTCTCCTGGTACTAGATCTGTCCCAAACACTCTTTCCCACAAAGCCAATTGTGACAGATGCCTCGTCGTACCTTAAACGAAGTATTGTTAATCTTGGGGTCTCCCACACAAATCTCAGTAGCACGATCATACTTTTTAAAGCGGTCCTCACACTTCTCGTCATTCTGCACTACCATCTCCACTTCCTGCAGTGTTTTTGAATGTGTTCCCTCTGGGAACAATCGTCCCCATCCAGCCACCTGGCACCGGGTACCTGGCTTCACCTGGGTCGTCCCCTTGGGCAGCTTGAGGAGCTGCACAGCTTTAGTCAGCTTGGCCTTTTTCTCCAGCTGGTGGAAAATAAGTAAGGAAGTCCAGTTCAGTGTATGCTCCTGGGTATGCACAGTGTGATGGACATGATGGCAAAGAGAGCAGGGGCAGGGTGCCAGTGGGAGTGGCCACCATTCTTGTGGAGAGCAAGAGTGACAAGGACATGTGCCTTACCTTCAGCAGCATGATGTCATTGATGCGTTTTCCCCAAATAAAGTCTTGGTGAGGAAACGCATTTTGTACACGGAAGACCTGCTGAGTGTCCTCTTGTTCCTTGATGTTGTGGGCCCCCAAGGTGACCTCTATTTGGCTGTACACAGAGACAAGTGGATTGGTGGATGGAGAGCTACAAAAGACACTACCCAGGATCTGTAAAAGCAGGCCACAACTGAAACAGGGTACAGCTGTAGAGGACAGAGGGCTACCCGGCTGAATGACTGTCCCTCCGTCTTAGTACTGAGGGAGGGCACCTTAAGCACCAGAGGTTCTCAGTGGTCAGTGCCTCCAGGAAAGGACATGAAACTGCTTTTACTTTGCTTGATTATGCCAAAGTATGGTCCTGGGTTTACATGTAATCAGGTTTGATTGCCCTGGTTTTCCTTATATCAGGAATTTTTGGTGCTAAGTTGCTTCTCTGCCCTTGGGATATGATGACCCTTTCTCACTCTCCCCAGTCCTCCTCATGGTTATGTCCATGAGCTCATCGAGCTGCCCAGAAAAAATGCACTGAGAACGGTTTCCTATAGACTGTGAACCCTTTTTCCTTTCTCACCCATGTAAACAGTGAGAAGCTGTCAGCACAAAGTCCTCTTGAATCAGGAAGCCACCACAAACTTTCCTAGATTTCTCATGCCTGATCCTAAGGTAAGCCATGTAGGGGCGGGAGTGGGGTTTGGCTTCATGTCCCCCGATGATCTCTCCTGAAAACATCAAGAAGACTTGGTGCAGCCACTGAGTCCTTGAACAAGTATCTTACAATCTCTGAACAGTTGGACATTTGGGAGGTTGCAGTTCCTTGAAGTGGACAGGAACCTAGAGGAAGATGCCTGAAATTGTTTTCCAAAGTGCAGGAAATTAAGTCTTGCTCTACAAATCCTTTTCCTCTGTTTGATTGGAGATGACTATATGTATCAGGGGAAAATAAAACCTCTGAAGCTTTTCATCATTCCTCTGTAACTTTTTACTTCCCTTGAGTAAATAAAACCCTTCTGAGTCCTGTGATGTCTAGGATGATGATGCTTCATCCTGGCAGGCTCTAGGTGTACTGTAGGTGAGGTCTTAACCTCTTTTTAAGGCCCGACATATAGAGGGTGTCTCAAATCTGTTCCCTGTCAGCATGAAGGAACAGCTGCAGTTAGTGTCTGGTTAGTAGAGCAGTGCAGATGGAATTCAGGAAAGCAGAGAAGTGTGAGTCTGCCTCTGTGGCTCCTACTGAAAAACAGAGAAGCCACTGAAATCCGGAGGAGGAAAGCAGAGCTGGAGAAAGTTAGTAGGAGTGAGGAGAGGCATCAACAGAGATTTCATCCATTGTGGGGAGCTCTGGGCAACTCTGCTAGGCAGTTATGAATGCAAAGACTTTCCTCTCCCCTGACCGGGATGACGGGCCTATTCTGCCCTGTTTAGGAGTGCTTGATATTTTCTTCTTTTTACTTCTCACCTGCATGAACTTTGAAGAAAGCCTCTCTAGATGTGCAAGCTGAGTCTTACTGAGGGTACATTACCCACTGTCTCTTCTTGAAAACAACCTCTGGTGGCTTATGCAGTGTCCTAACTGATTCCCTCAGGTGGAATTGGAGTTCAGGTTCAGAGCAATGCTGGCAGACAGAAGATTCTGGGGGTGTTGCAATGAAACAGGAGATTCATGTGCTCTGTGAAATAAGATTGGGCCTCTGGAGGGTGGAGATGGTCACTCACCTGCCTCTGCTCTGGGAAGCAGAAAGAAAGCCAACAGGAGCAGGAGCAGCTGCATCTTCCCAAGAATGAAGAAGAATCTCTAAGTCAGAGCTTCTGAAGATTTGTCCATGTTGTCTTTGAGCCACCAGCAGAGGAAAGGGGAGGAGTTGGCTCAGTGACCTCATGTTTGTCACTGGTTTTGTGGTGCTTTACCCTGAGAGGCTTTCTAAAACAACACACTACGGCCATTGCCTCCTCTCATCATGACACCTTTTAAGTGTATGAGACCCGTATAATGACCACAGCTGGTGAGTCAGATCAAATCATGTGTTCCTGTCCTCACCAGAAACCCAGGTGTGCAAGGTGGGTCTGTAGCATGTGGTATTGGCCAGGACATTCTCATAAACATGGGTTCCCAGTGACAGAATTATCAATGCCAGGTTTCATCAGGGTAGTTTTAGAAGCATTTGAGTATTAGGACCATCTCTTTTGCTAGGAGCAAGCATGCTGGAGAGTGAGCTGACCATCTGATGAAAGAGACAGAAATCCAGGAACAAAACTTCAGAAAGGCCACAGTGGAGCAATGTACTTAGGATTAACAAAGCTTGGCCAGCATCCTATCAATCTATCTGGTGACTCTGACATCATAGTAGCCTCCTTCTAACTGAATGCTAAACATCTCTTATTTAATTATAAATATTCAGTGTGATGGAGTAGGACTCTCTTCTCAATATTTTTAAAAAAATGTCTGCACTTGGAGTTTTTGGTCTAAATTAGCAAATTGCTGTGGGTCCTTGCAATTCAATCTATGTCTTGACAAAGTTTACTCCCATTGCTTTGGTTGTGCTGTTGTGGATCCCATCAGAATCTCCTAAACTAAATACGGTGGTGTTTTGGGGTGTATATGAGGATGGTGATCCCTTGTTTTTAGGGCTCTTATTCTTTTCTCTTCTTCCCATCCTATATGAATTGAGAGTTGCTTGCCCCATGAAATCCTTCTGCCATAGTGTTCCTGTTTTGAAGACTGCCTGCCTGTCCACTGCAACCCTGTTGCTCAAGGGCCAACTGTAGGTCTGAACAATTCGATTTGTGATTTAAGCTTCCTGTTCATGTTTTACATGTTTTTCTATAAGGAGTATTACACTTGAGAAGAAAACATTCTGGTGTATCTTCCTTTACAATAGAGGACCATCAACATTTATCAAAGCGGAGCATGTTTTTAACTGAACTTTCCCAGTAGTAAATAATTAAAAAGCAAAATTTTCTTTCTGACTGTAATTATAATGCATATTCATTAACAGAATTCAGAGAGCTGGAAGGAAAAATAGCATCCATTTGTCTATCTCCCCCCGACAACTGAAAATTTTATTATACATATTTATGTTACATAATGATTATACTTATTGTGGGAATTTTGTATGTAATGCGTCTTATTTCTTCGTGTCCTCTTCTTGTCTCCTCTCTTTCCCCTCCTTAAACTCTTAGTCCTCTTCTTCTCTGAAAAAAATCGATCACTCTTTCTTGTTATGTATCTTTTATTTGGCTCTTTAATTTATTTATACTTTAGGTTTCTTATAAAAGAAAAGCCTTGTGATATTTAATGTTGTGTTGATTGTTTGTTTTACTTAACATTGTGGTCCTAAGTACAACCATTTTCTACAATTACTCATGTTTGTCCTGCCTATAGAACAATAGTACTCCATTGTGTACAATGCCACATTTTGAAAATGCATCTTTTGCTGGGCAAACAAACTGTGTGCTTCTAAGTTACAGCTGCTATGAGTTGTGCTACTATCAACATGGATATAAGTATGTTACTGTAATAACTTTTCTTGCTCTTTCAGGAAGATAGAGAACCTGCTATCTTTAGAAGGGAGATAAATGGGCTGAATAGAAGTTTACTTTTAGTTTTCTGAGAAATCACTTTACTGATTTCCATAGTCTTATATACAGCCCATTAAACTTATGTGGTGAGCATATTAACTCAGTGCAATGCTATAGAAACAATGTAATTTACTTCCTATTGTAATCAATCTTAATTAATCTTACAACTTAAACACTTTAACCACATTTAAAATATCCAATTACTCAGTATTACATTAATAATTGTTTCATAGTGTTATTAAAAATTTAATATGCAATAAATTTCTAAAGTTGTAAACTAAAAAAGCAACATACGGTGTAAATAATTAAACTCTTCCTGATCTTTGCTCAGTGGCATAAACAATTAAAATTATCTGATTTTCTTCACTCATTAATACTTAGCTATAATGTTTTGAAGTATGATCTAATACATTTTTTGTGTAATATTTGCATTGAAAAATTTAACAAGGGATGATGCTAAACACATTTATGACTCATTTTTAAAACTGAGGGGAAGTTAAAATGTTACATGTGTAACTATTTTCAAGCATACAATTCAGTAGAATTTATGGCATTCAAAATGTGCATTTGGAATTTCAAAATATTTCTAGCACCTCAAAACTCTGTTATAAATATTAAATGATTGCTCCCCATTAACCTTTTTCTCATCATCCTGCTCACTGCACTGCTAATCTTTTTTCTCTATGCACTTTATTTTGAATATTGCATGGTTGGATCATGTTTCTAAAATCATTCTTTAAATCTTTGGAAAGTTTAAACTATTTACATTTAAAAGGATTACTTATAACGAAGGGTTTTTTATGACATTGTGCTACTTGTTTTTTATGTCATGTGTTTTTCACTCATCAGTGTTCTCCAAACTGCCTTGGCATTTCTTATAGGCTGGCATATTTAAAAATTCGGGATATATTATTTTTTTGGTTTGATTGTTACTGGTGGTACTTGAGGTTGAACTCGGGATCTTTGTAGTGAGCTACATCCTACCTTTCTCTTCAGTTTTTACTTTGAGACAAGATTTCATTAAATTCCTTTGGTTAGATCTTTGGTTCCTGCAGCAGCCTTCCAGAGTCTTGGGACTGCAGGCATCTACCACCATCCCTGACTTACTGCTGAGTGATGAAGTATAGCTTCTCTAGATGTAGAATCCTTGGTTGATGGTTTTCTTTTTCTTTTGTCTTGGTACTGAGGATTGAATTTACACCCTGCACTTGCCAGGCAGGCACTGTGCCACTAAGCTATATATCCTGCGCAACAGGACTTTCTTTCTGCACTGTAAGGAGATGGTCCCAGTGCCTTTGGCCCTTAACGTTTCTAATGTGAGATCAACTGTTAATCTCATTGAGAATCATTTTCTGGGATGAGTTGCTTCTGTTTTGCTGTTTGGAAGGTTTTCTGTTGTAACAGAAAACCTTTTTCTGTGTGTTGTAACAGTTTCCTTGTAGTAACTGCCCTTTTGAGTTTTGAGTTTAACCTGGTTAGAAATTTTGAGCTTATTGGGGTTGTGTATTCTTATACTTCATCATATTTGGGAAGTTGGGGGCCATCGTTTATGGAAATGTATTTGATTTTGAAATTATCTATCTTTCTTAAGCATCTTGAACTTCCATTGTCTCTCACTTTATATATGTATATATATATATATATCTGATATGTATATATATTTATATATATCTGATATGTATATATATTTATATAAATATATGAAATAAGATAAAAATATATATGATATATATGATATTGAATGTGTCCTATAGGACCCTTAGGCTTTGTTCATATTTCTTTATTTCTTTCATTTCTCAGACTGAGTTATTTCATTTTTATGAAAAACTCACTTGTTCTTTTCTTCTCTATGTTCAGATAGTTGGACTTTGTTAGTGAACTTTTCATTTCAACTATCATGCTTTTAAGCTCCAGAAATAAATATTTTTGTTTTTATGAGTATTCTTAACTTTTTTGTACATCATGTCTGGTTTCGTTTAGTTATTTGTGAGTTCACTTCTGTGTTTTGAGCATTTTAAAGTGGGCAGACTTAAAACCTTTTGTTATTCTATCCAATGCCTAAGATGTTCAAAATGTTTTAAATATACTTCATTTTTTTTGTGAGTGGGTGATACTTTATTATTTCTTTTCATTCTCTGTACTT